GTTGTTCCTATTCGGCCATCTTGCTCCGCCCCATTTTTGGACTTTTTAATATTAATAATTGCTATTCTGACTGCTGTGAGATGGTACCTCATTGTGATTTTGATTTGCATTTCTCTGATAATTAGTGATGTTGAAGCACTTTTCCATGTTTGTTGGCTGTTTGTATGTCATCTTTTGAGAAGTACCTGTTCATGTCCTTTGCCCATTTTTAATTGATTTTTCTTTTTTTGTTTTTTGCTTGTTGATTTAAGTTTTTTTTTTTTTAATAGATTTTGGATATTAGACATTTTGGTCCTTTAAGATAGGAAGAGTACAGGAGATAGTCAAGAAGACTTTAACAAATTTCTAAAACACAGAGAGCATATAGAGGATTGATAAATCTGTACAGAGAGGATAAACTTGTAACCAAAAAGGCAGAAGAGAAAAATTTGTCAAGGAGGAAAAGTTAATCAGTGTCCCTTAAGTCTCTTCAATAGAAGTATTTGGAAGTTTCAAGGGTTAATGAATGGTGGAGAATGAGGCAAAAAAGGAGGCTTTCCCTGCCTATGTTTCCTCCACAAGTCTTTTCATCAGGTAACTGATTTCTTCCCATAAGAAGAAGGAGGCTCACTCTCTAGAGAAACTGAGCTTAAGAAGCCCTGTACTCAGAGACACAGGGCAGTGCCAGAAAAGGCATGAGGTGTAGGCTTGAAGGCAGATTTGGTACGGGTCTACTCCTTCAATTAGGAGACTCTTAGTTCTTTTATTCATCTTGCTTCCTAAAATTCAGCAGCTAACTTTATCCAACACAAAGGGAACTGATCTAGAGAAATGACATTTTTCTTTTGCCATCTTAATGGAAAATTCTCTTCAATGTCCAACAGAGTGAATGAAATGAAAACATATACTGCTAGACACAGGGTTACGGAATGTGAGGACCTGAGAATTAAAGGGAAAATCACAAAAACTTTCAGATCTATACCAGGTTATATTGAAACAATTGGGATTCAGAATTCTCAAGAGGAACTATTAATATTATCTTGTATATTAATAGAAATAGGATGTTTTCATACTTGAATGTTTGCCAAAAATTTTACCTTCTATTTTCCCTTTCTCAGAAAAATATTGGAGAATATGCTTCATTCAAATGCCTGAAACCTAGTTAGAGAAAGTCCTGAGCTCCAGCAATCAGGAAACCTCATGTAGGAGAATGAGAATGTCAGGGAGGCTGCCTAGCACCAGACCTAGAAAACAACTACTTCAGAATGGACCTGGTGGATAATTCAGAAGTGAGAGGAGACAGTAAGAATAAAAGAGATGTGACAGATTTTATGAGAGTTTCCAATAGCTCAAAAAGGAATTTCAAACATCTGCCTGAACACTTGTCAATAATTCTAACTTGGGAAACAGAAATCACAAATTGAAATAAAGAGACTTGGTTATGCCCAGGATAGTACTAAAAATACAATTTAATCATAGCTGTCTTACCAGAGAACCATATTTGTGTAGTCAGAATGATGTAAGCAATGAATACTGATATAAAAATTGTCATCTAAATATATTCTGGAAAAAGGAGTGTGGAAAAGTGAGTGTGTCTATCTGAGGGTGTGTTCAAATGTGAAGTGAAGTTGAAGATTAAAATTTTCATCTCTCATAATAAAAAATTATTAATATAATCCACAAAAAGATAAGTAAGAAATAGAAACAGAGTCTTTATTTAAAAATGTGAATGTATGTTCAGAAGAAGCTGCTAGAATGTTGAAAATGGTGAATTTGGAAAGTGTGAGAATGAAGAGTATACCATTGCAATTTGCAACCCCTCCCGCACACAGATGCACAAATACAGTCACATATATGCATAAATCTGATAGTATAATTTAATGTTTAAGCAACATGTTATTTTGATATGAAATTAATCCCTGTTTTTTTCAAGACAGTAATTTCGTGACTAAATTATATGCTTACTTTATGTTTGCAAACATTTTATTATTTTTATTTGTATTAATTATCATATATACTAATGTATATGTATATAGAGATTTTTCATCTTTTATCTTTTTAAATTTTTATGGGTACATAGTAGTATATATTAGTATGTTTGGGGGTACATGAGATTTTTTTTTTTTGAGATGGAGTCTTGCTCTGTTGCCCAGGCTGGAGTGCAGTGGCCGGATCTCAGCACACTGCAAGCTCTGCCTCCTGGGTTTACGCCATTCTCCTGCCTCAGCCTCCCGAGTAGCTGGGACTACAGGTGCGTGCCACCTCGCCCGGCTAGTTTTTTGTATTTTTTTAAGTAGAGACAGGGTTTCACCCTGTTAGCCAGGATGGTCTCGATCTCCTGACCTTGTGATCCGCCCGTCTCGGCCTCCCAAAGTGCTGGGATTACAGGCTTGAGCCACCACGCCCGGCCTATAATTTGAAGTGAGATAATGTGATTCTTCCAGTTTTGTTCCTTTTGCTTAGGATAGTTTTGACTATTCCGGGTCTTTTGTGGGTGCATATAAATTTTAGGATTTATTTTTTCTATTTCTGAGAAGAATGCCATTGATATTTTGATAGGGATTTTATTGAATCTGTAGATTGTTTTGATAGTATGAACATTTTAACAATATTGATTTTTCCAATCCATGAACATGAAATATTTTTCTATTTGTTGTGTCCTCTTAAATTTCTTTCCTCAGTGTTTTATAGTTTTCATTTTAGGCATCTTTCAGTTCTTTGGTTAAATTAATTCCTAAGTATTTAATTTTACTTATGGCTATTGTAAATGGGATTACTTTTAAAATCTGTTTTTCTTTTTGTTCACTGTTGGCATATAACAACACTACTGATTTTTATATTGATTTTGTATCCTTCAACTTTACTGAATTTGTTCATCAGTTCTAATATTTAATTTGTGGAATCTTTAGGTTTTTCCTAATATAAGGTTATATCATCTGAACACAGGGATATTTTGACTTCTTCCTTTCCAATTTGGATAGCCTTTATATCTTTCTCTTGTCTGATTGCTCTTGCTAGGTCATCCAGTACTATGATGAATAACAATGGTGACAGTGGGCATCCTTGTCATGGTCCTGATCTTAGAGGAAATACTCTTCGTTTTCCCCATTCAATATAGTACTAGTTGTGGCTCTGTCATATAGCTTTTTTATGTTGAGGTATGTTCCTTCTATCTCAGGTTTTTTAAATGAATTTTTATCAGGAAGGGATGTTAAACTTTATCAAATACTTTTTAAGCACCAACTGAAATGATCATATAGCTTTTGTCCTTCATTCTTTTGATATGATGTATCACACTGCTTGATTTGCACATGTTGAACCATCCTTGCATCCGAGGGATAAATCCCACTTGGTCATTGTGAATGACCTTTTTATTGTATTGCTGAATTTGGTTTGCCAGTATTTTGTTGAAGATATTTGCACTAGTGTTCATCAGGTGTATTGACCTGTAGTTTTCTTTTCTTGATGTGTCTTAGTCTGATTTTGGTATCAGGGTAATACTGGTCTCACAGAATGAGTTTTGAAGTATTCTCTTCTCCTTTTTTTTTTGGAATAGTTTGAGTAGGATTGGTATTAGCTCTTCTTTAAATGTTTGGTAAAATTCAGCAGTGAAGCTAGCCAGTCTTGGGGTTTTCTTTACTGGGATACTTTTTATTTCTCATTTGATCTTGGTACTGATCATTGCATGTTCAGGTTTTGGATTTTTTCCTGGTTCAAACTCGATGGGTCATATTTGTCTAGTGATTTGTCCATTTCTTCTAGACTTTCCAATTTATTGGCATATAGTTGCTTATAGTAACCACTAATTATTCTTTGAATTTCTGCAGTATCAGTTGCCTCCTTTTTAATTTGTTTTTATTTATTTGAATCTACTCTTTTTTTTTTTTTTTTTTTTTTTAGTCTGGCTAATGGTTTGTCAATTTTGTTTAACTTTTCAAAAGCAAATTTGTTTCATTGATCTTTTGTTTTTCTTCGTTTAAATTTTATTTATTTCTGCTCTGATCTTTATTATTCCTTTTCTTCTATTAATTTTGGGTTTAATTTGCTTTTGCTTTTCTAATTATTTAGGATGCATCATTAGATTGTTTATTTGTCTATTTTCTCCATTTTTGATATAAGTTCTTGTAGCTATAAACTTCCCTTTTAGTACTGGTCTTGCTATAGCCCCTTGGTTTTGGTATGTTGTGTTTCCATTAAAATTAGTTTCAAGAAATTTTTCAATTTCCTTTTTAATCTCTTCATGGGCCCACTCTCCATTTATGAGTATATTTTAAAATTTCCATTTATTTGTGTAGTTTCCAAAATTCCTCTTGTTATTGATTGCTGGTTTTATTACACTGTGATCAGAGAAGATGCTTGATATTATTTCAGTTTCTTTGCATATTTTAAGACTTGTTTTGTGACCTAACATATGGTCAATTCCTGATAACAATCCATGTGCTACAGAAAAGGATGTGTATTCTGTAGCAGTTGGATAAAATATTCTGCAAATATCTATTAGATCCATTTGGTATATAGTGCAGATAAAGTTCAATGTTTCCTTGTTGATTTTCTATCTAGATGACCTGTCCAATTCTGAAAGTGGGATGTTGAAGTCTCCAGCTATTATTGTACTGGGGACTATCTCTCTCTAGTTCTAATTGTATTTCTTTTATATATTTGGGTGCTCCATTATTGGTTGCATATATATTTAAAATTGTTCCATCTTCTTGCCAAGCTGACTACCTTATCACCAATAGTGATCTTCTTTGTCTCTTCTTATAGTTTTTGTTTTGAAATCTACTTTGTCTTTTTTAAATATAGTAATTCCTGCTTTTTTTTCGTTTCTATTGGCATGTACTGTCTCATTCCATTCCTTTATTTTCAGCCTATGTGTGTCTTTTTAAGTGAAGTGTGTTTCTTTTAGGCAACAGATTAATGGGTCTTGTTTTTCCATCCAGTCAGTCTGTCTTTTGATTGGAGATTTTAGCCCATTTACATTCAGTGTTATTATTGATAAGTAAGGACTTACCCCTGCCCTTTTGTTATTTGTTTTCTGGTTGTTTTGTGGACTTCTCTTCCTTTTTAAAATCTTTCCAGTCTTCCTTTATTGAAGATAATTTTCTCTGCTTGTATGTGTACAGATTTTTCTTAATGCCTAGTTTATGGTAGTTACACACTTGTGCATCTGTAACAGTCCTCTCTTTACATTTGCATATACTTCCAGCACTATAATTTAAATTTATAATGTTGTTTGGATGCCTTCATCATGATTCATGTACCCGTGGATTGCGACAACAAATGTGCCATTTTTCTCCTTTTCGATCAGTTTTTACTTGTGTCTTGTCAGCTAAAGTCCGGGAAGAGATTGAACGTGTGATTGGCAGAAACCGGAGCCCCTGCATGCAGGACAGGAGCCACATGCCCTACACAGATGCTGTGGTGCATGAGGTCCAGAGATACATTGACCTCCTCCCCACCAACCTGCCCCATGCAGTGACCTGTGATGTTAAATTCAGAAACTACCTCATCCCCAAGGTAAGTTTGTTTCTCCTACACTGCAACTCCATGTTTTTGAAGTCCCCAAATTCATAGTATCATTCTTATCCTCTACTCTCACCTGGTGAGAGAAGTGCATAACTCATATGTCTGGCAGTTTAATTGGACTTTGTGTTGTTTCCAGTTTGGGGCTACTGTTTTGTAACAGGTGTTAGTGTCTGGCAGTGTGTGTTTTCATGATTTATTATCTTTCTTCAAGATTGGTTTGGCTACTCTTAGGTGCTTATGTTTCCAGATAAATTTTAAAGGCATTTGTATGTCAATTTCCCAAAACATTGGGCTGGAATTTCTGTCAGGGTGACATTAAATTTATAGATCAGTTTGGAAAGAACTGAATCTTGACATGTTGCCTCTTTCCATTCATGAATATAATTATGCTTCAAATTTATTTGGGATTTCTTTTATTTTCCCAGGAATGTTGTGATTTGTTGTCATGGCTTTCAAGTCTTTGGTTTTCCCTAGATAATTAATATTTTTGTTTTGGAATATAATTAGTTTTTATCATTCTGATGATGTTAATCTGTCAACTTTGCTAAATTTACTAATCACTGTTCATAATTTATTTCTGGATTCATTGTAATTTCTGTGTAATTATACTGTATCTGGGTTAATATTGTTTTATTACTTATTTTCCATTTCTCATGGGCTTAATGTCTCTTTATTGCATTAGTTATTGCATTGGCTAGAATTTTTTGGAGAGTGTTGAATAGAATTGGTTACAGTGGGGATCCTTGTTTTTCATTTCTAATCTGCAGGAAACAGTGAAAGTTTTCCATTTCAATATTGAGAATGATGCTTGAAGTATATTTTGGTAGATAATTTTTATCAGATTAGAGAAGTTTGCTGTCATATATAGATGTCATAATTGTGTGTAAAATCTTATCACATCAATTCTCTGCATCTATTTATATACTTGTGTGTTAGTCCGTTTCCATTGCTATAAAGGAATATCTTTGACTGGGTAATTTATAAATAAAATAGTTTTATTTTGGCTCATGGTTTTGCAGGCTGTGCAAAAGGCATAATGGGGGCAGGCATCTGCTCCTAGTGAGGACTTCAGGTAGCTTTCAATCATGGAAGAAGGTGAAGGGGAAGCAAGCATGTCACATGGCAAGAGAGGGAGTAAGAGAGAAAGGAGTGGAAGTGACTTTAAACAACCAGCTCGTGTGTGAACTAACAGAATATGAACTCACTTATTATCATAAGAAGAGCTTTAAGCCACTCAAGAAGAATTCACCCCCATGTCTTAAATACTTCCCACCAGACTCCACCTCCAACACTGGGAATCACATTTCAACATGAGATTTGGAGGGGACAAATATCTACACAACATCAGATTATATGTATTGGGCTTACATTCCTCACTAAATAGAAATAAGTATGCACATAGAGATGAATTGACCTTCTTCATGTTGTTTAGGACTTCAGTGTTTACATTCACAAGAGATTGGTTTATAATTTTCTTTCTTAGAATTTTCAAGATTTTTGATATTGAGATTATGCCAGCCTTACAAAACTAGGGGAGAAAAGTTTCCTAATGCAAGTCTGATTTTATTGCCGTTCCCTCTCCCCACTTTTCTTCGTGTGATCACTTAGTTGTATCTTTGAAATACCTGATGACTTTTGGTTAAATACCAGACACTATATATAAGAAACTACAGAATTTCAGAGGTTTATATTCTTCAAAGAAAGATTCATTCCTCTCCCATAGGCAGTCATAATGACATAACACCTGTTGTCATGATTCAGAATTGGACATAATGTGAACCCAGTCAAAAACTGAGTGTCAGTGTTAGCTTAGCTCTCTGAGATTCTCCTACCTCTGGAACCTTGAGACCAATTTTTGTCTTGGCAGCTTTACAATGCCTTCTATCACATGGTTTCTGTATTTATCCAGACACTCCAGTTGCCATCTCAAACCTACATTTTCCAATTAAAACCAATACATATGATTAGTAAAATAAAAAATAATATAACTGAAAGTTGTATTTTCAAGGGGAAAAAGGAATGATATTGGTAAGGTTGCAATTACTAATGTCATCTTTTGAAGAAGACAGAATTGATAATTTACTGAGAGATTATGGGGCTTACCCTAATGGTCACTGATTTAGTACAAGAGATAAAACTTCAATGCACTCTGTTATCTCAAACAAAGGAGGTAACCAGGAGAAGACTTTTGTTTCTCAAAATTAGGGTCTGAGGGTAATAGTAATGAAACTTACTTCTCCTCCTGTAACTAACTAAATGAGAAATATACTGAAGAATCAGGCAGGAGCTGCCAGTCTCCCCAGTTCACTGCATCAGCTTTGGTGACCTGCTGGAGGGGAAATGCTGCATCTGATGAGCTTCTTCATTCACCCCCATGCAGGGCAGCTCATGCTGTGCCTGTTGTCTTTTGAGCCCTGAGAAACCAGAGCCCAAAGGAATCACCCATTGAATCCCTTCTTCATGGAATAGCCCAGTACAGAAAAATGCAGCACTGTGTGGCCAATTCTACCCTCTTTACAAATCGGATACATGTGTTCTTCTGCTACAGGCTGGATCCATTTATCTAACTGGAGATAATAGTCTGAGACAGGAGTTGGCAAACTGTTTCTGTAATGGGCCAGATAGTAAATATTTTAGACTTTTCCGGCCATGTGGTTTATGTTGCAATACTTGACATCTCTTATTGTAGTATGAAAGCAGTCATAAACAATCTGCAAATGAATGAAGATTGATATGTTCCAAGTTTTATAGAAACAAATGTAAATTTCCTATAAAATGTTTGTTTCAAACATATTATTTCTTGTTTGCATTTGTTCAATGTGAATATTTTTAGCTCACATACTATACAAAAACAGGTGGCAGGATGGACTTGTACAGGGAGTATTTTTTATTGATGCCTATTATAAGACATTCCTGTCCAGTAGAATTTTCTGCAAATATGTGTGATTAATTTGTTCTTTTGTGTCCTATTAAAGAATATTTGTCAGCACAAGATTCCAAAGACTGGCTTTTAACTTTCCTGGAATTTTTTTGTTTTAGCTCTTATATTTAGATCAATGACATATTTCAAATGAATTTTTATTTGTAATATGAAGTAATAATCATCATGCTTCAATGTCTATAAATTTCTAGTTATTCAAGTAACATTTGTTGAAATAAATCTGCTTTGGTTCTTAATAACATTTTAATATAGTACTTGTTTATAAATATTCAAGGGAATATTTTTGAAAACCTAAATTATAGACTATTGATATGAAAATTTAGGGGGTAGAATTTTTCCTCACCTTTTTATTATAAAATATTTTAAAATAAGTAACTTTACAAACACATGTGTATATGTACATATGGCAGTATGTATATATATCTACTTTGATATCTGTCCATCCATCTATTTATGCTTCAGTACTTCAGTATGTATAGCACAATAACAATGGTTTTCTCCTACATAATATTAATAGCATTCATACTGTGGAGTTATTAATACAATAATATTAACTACACAGCCTATATTTAAAATTTTCCAATTTTTAAAGAATATGTTAATCACTTTTTTTCTTGCAATTCACTCTCCAGTCAAGAAACAGGCACATAATTTCAGTATCCTGTTATTTTCATCTCCCGTAATCAAGAAGAGTCCATTTCCTCTGTTTCCTTTCGATATGTTGACCTCTGTGAAGAGTTGAGGCCGTTAGTCATTTAAACTTTCCTAAGGCTCATTTTGTATGACTATTTTCTAGATATTATATTCCAGTTATGACTTTGGCAATAAAACTACATAGTACTTTGAATATCCCACTGAATCACAGTGGTGAGGCAGAGGCACATAATGTCACATATGTCATTATTGGTTATGCTAAGATTCTCACCTAATAAGTTGGAATCTGCCAGATCTCTTCATTGAAGGGGTTCTGTTTTTCATGTGTGAATGATGAAAATCTATGGCATGGTACTTTAAAACTGAACACCCTGCTTCCCAAGTCACACATCCAATAGTTTTTTCTTTCATTAATGATCCTCACCTGACCTGATGATCTTGACCTGAATGGTTAAAAATAGGTGATTTTTCTAATTTCATCGTTCCTTCTGTATTTTTTAGCTAGGATTAATCTGTAATGAATATCTCTCCCATATCTTTAAATGAAGACAAACAAACTGCATGGCAATGACAAGAACTCAATAGTTTTATACTTGTGACTATACTAGTTATCATCCCAGAAGATGTCATTTGAAACTCAATCGTGTTTATTCACAAATACCCTGTGAACAGATACTGTGGCAATTTCCCATGTCAAAAGAGACTTCAACTTTAAGTCATACTCTACACATAAGGTTGGTGAAAACCAAAGTGATGGAATAGAGTAGCAAGTGTGGACAGCCACTAGTGTCCAAGCTTGATGAAAAGAAGGACAGATTCAGAAGGTTGCACCCAAGTATCCAAGTACTCGGGACTTCAAATGTGATTGCAGGGCACTTTAGCGAGATTATTTTCACTGGCCTTAAGCTCATGCCTATTATTACTTGGTCTGTCCATCTGGAAATGGTACTGCTCTTCTTTGGAATGGTGTTTCCTCGTCTGCACATCAAAAGATTCAACTATGTGATCACCACTGTTTCTTCAACCTTCATGACTTCTTTACAGCTCAGTTCATCTATGTCTCTTGTTTATAGGGCACAACCATATTAATTTCCCTGACTTCTGTGCTACATGACAACAAAGAATTTCCCAACCCAGAGATGTTTGACCCTCGTCACTTTCTGGATGAAGGTGGCAATTTTAAGAAAAGTAACTACTTCATGCCTTTCTCAGCAGGTAATATAAATGTATTTCCATTTGTTTCTCAGGGTATAAGACAACTTTTTTGATCAGTTGAAACTTATGTGTGTCTCCTCTGCAGTGGTACAATTACTTTTCGTACACGATCAAGAGCACTGTTCTGAATGTCTGTGTGCTCCCTGCTCATGATACATCCTAATTATTGAGCCAGATTAGTGGGCTTTGGGGAGTTAATCCAATTCTTCCAAAATGAGAAAGCTGAAGTATAGGTTGGTTGAATTCTGCCTCTATATACACCACTGAGGTATCCAAGAACTCCTCCTAGAAGATAAAACTAATTACATTTTCCTCACTAGCCATGAGGAAGTTATTTCACTCCAAAACTTCACTGAGTGTTTTCCACATGGTGTCCCTTACCCCCTAGGCTGGGCCTGTAGGATAAAATTATCCTCAAACACTGAAGAGGGTCTTAAAAGGCTCGTTTCTGAGTTTGGAAAGCAGAGTAAACAGATCATTGTAGTTCAATAGGACTGAGGCTGTGATATAGGAAAGAATAGGCTGTTGGGGTTTGGGAGGTAGATGGAAAAGCTGTCTGCTTCTTGTTCTCTTATACCCCAAAGTGAGGCATAAGTAACATTTTAATAGCAGTGAAGACATTTGAGTTACCTCAGAGGAGGCAGAAAGGATGAAAGGAAGAGAAGGCAGGGCTGTTAAAGGAAATAATGAGCCACAGGAGCAGGACATTAGCTCTAAATAACGGATATTAGAACCTTTGCCAAATAACCGTTGATGGGATGAGGGGGACATTGGGAATGTAGCAGGATACTCTGCAGTGATGCAGAGCACCACGCTCTTCCCCTAGTCATGGCCATGTATCTTGGATGTTGGATCTCCACACCCGAAATGTGTGTGCTGAGTGTCTGGTGATAGAATCTCCTTCCTTCATTCTGTGGCCTTTGATGTCTGCTTTATATCTGGCACTGTAGATACCAAGACAACAAGAAAAGAAACCTTCCTTCAAGCATTCACATTTGGCACATGTATTAGTCCATTCTTACATTGCTATAAAGAACTACCTGAGACTGAGTAATTGATGAAGAAAAGAGTTTTAATTGACTCACAGTTCCACAGGCTGTACAGGAAGCATGACTGGGAGACCTCAGGAAACTTGCAATCATGGTGGGAGGCAGAGCGGAAGCAAGCACATCTTTCCATGGCAGAGCAGGAGAAAGAGAACAAAGACAAAAGGCTACATGCCTTTAAACAACCGGATCTCATGAGAACTCACTATCATGAGAACAGCAAGGGGGAAATCATCCCCCATGATTCTATCACCTCTCACCAGGTATCTCCCCCAACATTGGGAATTACAATTTGGCATGAGGTTTGGGTAAGGACACAGAGCCTAACCATATCACACTCTAGTAAATAAATAAATCAGTAATTATTATTCTAGGTGACCCATGCTGTCTGTTTCTTTGGCCATGACAAAATGTCCAAGACTAGGCAATTGATGAATAATGGAAATTTATTTCTCACAGTTCTGAAGGCTGGAGTTCCAAGATCAAGGTGTCAGCAAGTTCAGTGCCTAGTGAGGGCCTGTTCCTTATAGATAATGCGCCCTCTGTATCCTTATATGACAGAAGGCCAAAAGGCAAAAGGGGAGAAATGGCTCCCTTGCATCTCTTGATGTTATTATTTTAGCAAGGACAGAGACCTCCTGACTTATTCACTTCCTAAAAGGAACCATCTCTTTAGTAATATTGCATTGGGGATTATGTTTCAACATACAAAATTGGGAGAAGCCGTATTCAGATCATAGCACATTTTTCAATGGAAGCATAAATATAATGTTGAGGAAATCCAGAGAAAGCAACATTTTCTTCCTCAAGGAGATGAGAAAGCGGGTATAAAAGGAGATAAAATTTGACCTATGTCCTGATTGTAGTAATAGAAAAGTTCATCTTGGCCAAAAGGAGCAGCGTGATATAAAACTTGAAACCTCACAGTGTGCTAGAGGCTGATGACGAGTGGCTATGCCTAGAGTTGAGAGTAGGGAATGTGAAGAGTGTAAGGAGTGATATGAATCATCAGACTGGAAACAGAATGTGAGGGTCCAGGTCAATCCATTGGGACTTTATTCTATAGGACAGACAGGGAAGTATTGAAAGTTTTAAAGTGAGAAGGAGACATGTTTAGACATGTGCTCCTGAAAGTACCTAGGGGAAAAAAAAATCTTTGACTGCGTATTGAGCCAGAAATACAAAGGGAAATACAGTATGTTAGCCTCCTCCTCTAAGTCCTTCTCAGTTCAACCCACTTGACAAGGAACGTATGTTACTAAAGAAAGATTGATGAAGACATTTAAAGTCTTTAGAAAGATTTTAATAAAGTGCTTGGCATGTAGCTGGTACTCAATAAATATTTGTTGAATACAGGGTGCCTGTTAAGATTTGGTATTAGGGGAAGAGTAAGTACGTCCATTCATTTTTTCAGTTGCCTATCCATCCATCCATTCATCCATTTATCCATTCACCCATCCATCCATTCATTCATGCATGCACCCATCCACCCATCTATCTCCTCATCCTTCCTGTGATTCACTGAACAGTTATTGCATATTCTGTTTGTGCCAGTTACAAAGACAGTGTTTGTCACTGTCACAGTTACACATGAGGAGTAACAGATCTCTGTGTTTTCTATTTTCAGGAAAACGGATTTGTGTGGGAGAAGGCCTGGCCCGCATGGAGCTGTTTTTATTCCTGACCTCCATTTTACAGAACTTTAACCTGAAATCTCTAGTTGACCCAAAGGACCTTGACACCACTCCAGTTTTCAATGGATTTGCCTCTGTGCCACCCTTCTACCAGCTGTGCTTCATTCCTGTCTGAAGAAGAGCCGATGGTCTGGCTGCTGCTGTGCTGTCCCTGCAGCTCTCTTTCCTCTGGGGCGTTATCCACCTTTCACTATATGTGATGCCTTTTCTGGCCTGTCATCTCACATTTTCCCTTCCCTCAAGATCTAGTGAACATTCAGCCTCTGTTAAGGAGAGTTTCCTATGCTTCACAATGCAAATATATCTGCTATTCTCCATAGTCTGTAACGGTTGCATTGACTGTCACATAATACTGATACTTATCTAATGTTGTTATTAATATGTTATTATTAAATAGAGAAAGATGATTTGTGTATCATAATTCAAAGGCATTTCTTCTCTGCATGTTCTAAATAAAAAGCATTATTATTTGCTGTGTCAGTTTATTAGACCTTCCTTCTTTTAAGCATAATACAGGTCAGAAATTAAAGAAAAATAGAGTTCCAGGAGGCTCTGCTGGTTCTCAAAATGATAAGGACAGAAAGGACAAAGGGGAAGAGGGTAGGGAAGCTATTTTTGCTGAGTGTGAGAGTTATTTGAGGATTGGACTTGAAAGTGAGAAACTGTTCAGGAGCGGCTCCAACCTGTAGGGAAATATTCAGAGGATCAGCCAAAGGGAGGAATGGACATTAAATGTTAGAATTCTTATATCCACATTGGTGTTCCTTTTTTATTTTTGAGACAAAGTCTTGCTCTGTCACTCAGGCGGGAGTACAGTGGTGGGGTCTCGGCTCTCTGCAACCTCCACCTCCCAGGTTCAAGTGATTCTCCTGCCTCAGCCTCCTGAGTAGCTGGGTTTACAGGTGCATGCCACCACGCCTTGCTAATTTTTTGTATTTTTAGTACAGACGGGTTTTCACCATGTTAGCTAGGATGGTCTCGATCTCCTGACCTTGTGATCTGCCCGCCTCAGCCTCCCAAAGTGCTGGGATTACAGGTGTGAGCCACTGCACCTGGCCTGGTGTTACTTTAAAGTGTCATTACTTCATCTCTAAAGAATCAGATTACTTATTACTTTTGTTACTTCATGTTTCCAACTTATAATGATGTAATGAAGTATAAATATATGCTTTCATTTTGCTTCTCATGTGTCCTGTCATGCTTCCCTCTTCAAACATGAACAAAATTTCTTTTGTTTTCTTTTCTTTTCTTTTTTTTTTGAGATGGAGTCTTACTTTTGTTGCCCAGGCTGGAGTGCAATGGCATGATCTTGGTTCACTGCAATCTCCACCTCCAGGGTTCAAGTGATTCTCCTGTTTCAACCTTCCAAGTAGCTGGGATTACAGATGCCCACCACCACACCAGGCTAATTTTTGATATTTTTAGTAGAGACAGGGTTTCACCATGTTGGCCAGACTAGTCTTGAACTCCTAACCTCAAGTGATCCACCCACCCCGGCCTCCCAAAATGCTGGGATTATGGGTGTGAGCCACTACACTTGGCTGGACAAAATTTCTAAGAAGAATTACCAAGATTTACTCTTTCTCAGTTTCTCCTATATTATTTTACTTTTAACCTAAGTGGGATGATAATTTTATGCCATGGTCCTAATATAATTAGCCTCAGGTAATCTCCAAAGCATAGAGAGTTAAGTATCTTTTTTTTTTTTTTTTAAAGTTGGAAATGCTTTATTCATGTCCACAGGAACCATATACAAAAGTTTGTCAAAAAGCAATACAAATTAAATATTTGGAAATATATCACAATCAGATTTCTTAGTGAAGTATTCAGATTCCAAAACTGTGTTAATGATAAAAGCATAGGAAAACATTTCCAAGCAATGTCTTACTTTGGGTTCAGCTAAAAATTATCCGTAGGCAGTCTCTTATTTATTTTCATAAACAAAGAACATATTCTATCTTTCTTTTTGTTATTATTATTATTATACTTTAAGTTCTAGGGTACATATGCATAACATGCAGGTTTGTTACATATGTATACTTGTGCCATGTTGGTGTGCTGCACCCATCAACTCGTCAGCACCTATCAACTCATCATTTACATCACGTATAACTCCCAATGCAATCCCTCCCCCCTCCCCCCTCCCCATAATAGGCCCCGGTGTGTGATGTTCCCCTTCCCGAGTCCAAGTGATCTCATTGTTCAGTTCCCACCTATGAGTGAGAACATGCAGTGTTTGGTTTTCTGTTCTTGTGATAGTTTGCTGAGAATGATGGTTTCCAGCTGCATCCATGTCCCTACAAAGGACACAAACTCATCTTTTTTATGACTGCATAGCATTCCATGGTGTATATGTGCCACGTTTTCTTAATCCAGTCTGTCACTGATGGACATTTGGGTTGATTTCAAGTCTTTGCTATTGTGAATAGTGCTGCAGTAGACATACGTGTGCATATGTCTTTATAGTAGCATGATTTATAATCCTTTGGGTATACACCCAGTAAAGGGATGGCTGGGTCATATGGTACTTCTAGTTCTAGATCCTTGAGGAATCGCCATACTGTTTTCCATAATGGTTGAACTAGTTTACAATCCCACCAACAGTGTAAAAGTGTTCCTATTTCTCCACATCCTCTCCAGCACCTGTTGTTTCCTGACTTTTTAATGATCGCCATTCTAACTGGTGTGAGATGGTATCTCATTGTGGTTTTGATTTGCATTTCTCTGATGGCCAGTGATGATGAGCATTTTTTCATGTGTCTGTTGGCCGTATGCATGTCTTCTTTTGAGAAACGTCTGTTCCTATCCTTTGCCCACTTTTTGATGGGGTTGTTTGTTTTTTTCTTGTAAATTTGTTTGAGTTCTTTGTATGATCTGGATATTAGCCCTTTGTCAGATGAGTAGATTGCAGACATTTTCTCCCATTCTGTAGGTTTCCTGTTCACTCTGATGGTAGTTTCTTTTGCTGTGCAGAAGCTCCTTAGTTTAGTTAGATCCCATTTGTCAATTCTGGCTTTTGTTGCCAATGCTTTTGGTGTTTTAGACATAAAGTCCTTGCCCATGCCTATGTCCTCAATGGCATTACCTAGGTTTTCTTCTAGAGTTTTTATGGTATTAGGTCTAATATTTAAGTCTCTAATCCATCTTGAATTAATTTTCGTATAAGGAGTAAGGAAAGGATCCAGTTTCAGCTTTCTACTTATGGCTAGCCAATTTTCCCAGCACCATTTATTAAATAGAGAATCCTTTCCCCATTTCTTGTTTTTCTCAAGTTTATCAAAGATCAGATGGCTGTAGACGTGTGGTATTATTTCTGAGGACTCTGTTCTGTTCCATTGGTCTATATCTCTGTTTTTGTACCAGTATCATGCTGTTTTGGTTACTATAGCCTTGTAGTATAGTTTGAAGTCAGGTAGCGTGATGCCTCCAGCTTTGTTCTTTTGACTTAGGATTGTCTTGGCAATGTGGGCCCTTTTTTGGTTCCACGTGAACTTTAAAGCAGTTTTTTCCAACTCTGTGAAGAAACTCCTTGGTAGCTTGATGGAGATGGCATTGAATCTATAAATTACCTTGGGCAGTATGGCCATTTTCATGATATTGACTCTTCCTATCCATGAGCATAGTATGTTCTTCCATTTGTTTGTGTCCTCTTTTATTTCACTGAGCAGTGGTTTTTAGTTCTCCTTGAAGAGGTCCTTTACATCCTGTGTAAGTTGGATTCCTAGGTATTTTATTCTCTTTGAAGCAATTGTGAATGGAAGTTCATTCCTGATTTGGCTCTCTGTTTGTCTGTTACTGGTGTATAAGAATGCTTGTGATTTTTGCACATGAATTTTGTATCCTGAGACTTTGCTGAAGTTTCTTATCAGCTTAAGGAGATTTTGGGCTGAGACAATGGGGTTTTCTAAATATACAATCATGTCATCTGCAAACAGGGACAATTTGACTTCTTCTTTTCCTAACTGAATACCCTTGATTTCTTTCTCTTGCCTGATTGCCCTAGCCAGAACTTCCAACACTGTGTTGGAGAGGGCATTCCTGTCTTGTGCCAGTTTCCAAAGGGAATTTTTCCAGTTTTTGCCCATTCAGTATGATACTGCCTGTGGGTTTGTCGTAAATAGCTCTTATTATTTTGAGATACGTTCCACCAATACCGAATTTATTGAGAGCTTTTAGCATGAATGGCTGTTGAATTTTGTCAAAGGCCTTTTCTGCATCTATTAAGAAAATCATGTGGCTTTTGTCTTTGGTTCTGTTTATATGCTTGATTACGTTTATTGATTTGCGTATGTTGAACCAGCCTTGCATCCCAGGGATGAAACCCACTTGATCATGGTGGATAAGCTTTTTGATGTGCTGCTGGATCTGGTTTGCTAGTATTTTTTTGAGGATTTTTACCTCAATGTTCATCAGGGATATTGGTCTAAAATTCTCTTTTTTGTTGTTGTGTCTCTGCCAGGCTTTGGTATCAGGATGATGTTGGCATCTTAAAATGAGTTAGGGAGGATTCCCTCTTTTTCTATTGATTGGAATAGTTTCAGAAGGAATGGTACCAGCTCCTCCTTGTACCTCTGGTAGAATTCAGCTGTGAATCCATCTGGTCCTGGACTTTTTTTGGTTGGTAGGCTATTAATTATTGCCTCAATTTCAGAGCCTGCTATTGGTCTATTCAGGGATTCAGCTTCTTTCTGGTTTAGTCTTGAGAGAGTGTAAGTGTCCAGGAAATTATCCATTTCTTCTAGATTTCTAGTTTATTTGCATAGAGGTGTTTATAGTATTCTCTGATGGTAGTTTGTATTTTTGTGGGGTCAGTGGTGATATCCCCTTTATCATTTTTTATTGCATCTATTTGATTCTTCTCTCTTTTCTTCTTTATTAGTCTTGCTAGCGGTCTATCAATTTTGTTGATCTTTTCGGAAAACCAACTCCTGGATTCATTGATTTTTTGGAGGGTGTTTTGTTTCTCTATCTCCTTCAGTTCTGCTCTGGTCTTAGTTATTTCTTGCCTTCTGCTAGCTTTTGAATGTGTTTGCTCTTGCTTCTTTAGCTGTTTTAATTGTGATGTTAGATTGTCAATTTTAGATCTTTCCAGCTTTCTCTTGTGGGCATTTAGTGCTATAAATTTCCCTCTACACACTGCTTTAAATGTGTCCCAGAGATTCTTGTATGTTGTATCTTTGTTCTCATTGGTTTCAAAGAATATCTTTATTTCTGTCTTCATTTCGTTATGTACCCAGTAGTCATTCAGGAGCAGGTTATTCAGTTTCCATGTAGTTGAGCAGTTTTGATTGAGTTTCTTAGTCCTGAGTTCTAGTTTGATTGCACTGTGGTCTGAGAGACAGTTTGTTATAATTTCTGTTCTTGTACATTTGCTGAGGAGTGCTTTACTTCCAATTATGTGGTCAATTTTGGAATAAGTGTGATGTGGTGCTGAGAAGAATGTATATTCTGTTGATTTGGGGTGGAGAGTTCTGT